TTTAGACAAGATTGTAATCGATAGTTTTTTAAAAATTATTATTAAATTTTTTATTAATAAAAACGATCAAAAGAAGCGGTTCATATAAATTTACTTCAAATTTTTTTAAAAAATTTTTTTGAATAATAAAATAATAAAATTTTTTAGTATAATGTTTTGTTGTATTTATAAATATATGTGCAAAATTATTCGCTTCTTTGTATTATATTTAACAAGTTACAACTGTATAAAGATTCAGATTCAGATGATCCGATACTTTTGAGCGCCACTGTATGTTACATTACTAATATCATTTCATTATGTCGCATTAATACATTATGGAAAAACAATGTTGCCTTTTCATGGAAGAGTAATCAGGCTTGATCTGTCCCCACAAGTGTGTACGGCGAAAGAATATCAACACATACGTTTCCATCCAATAATTGACACTGAACTTTGTTAAACGGCCCTTCCTTGTGGCGGATTACCTCTTCTAGCGCTTCTATGCGGGAGCTGTACGTGGTAGCTTAGATTTTTTATCATATGATGATTTCACCCGCTCGTTAAAATTAGAATTAATAATATAAAGAGATTTCAAAAATTATTGGAAAAATCCAGATCCTGATCCAGTAATAAGTTTTCCCAAAAAGTTTAGAAAACGCCGTATAAAATTGATTCCTATTACTAACACTCATGTCGTAATATTAAAATTTTGATGTTAATGAGTATAACCCAGAGTCTAAGTCTTATAAGGTGAAATTTTTCTTCGTTCCTCTCTAATTCTCTTATTTGAACGATATACTCTAGAACCTTTACTCATGGCGTAGTTTGTTTCAAATTGTGAGAAATCATTATTGTTTTCTGATCCAACCTTTCTATATTTTTCACGTATGTTGTGTATATTATAGCGAGACTCCATTATGCGTAAAATTAGATCTTGGTCTTGGGCATTCTGTTCGGGAGTGACATTAATTCCATCATTTGTAACATAAGAATAAGAGACTTGGACTTGAGCTTATGAAGAAAACTTAATAGCATATTCTTAATTTGTTCCATTTTTTTTTCATTCTATGTGGGATCACCAAGTTGCGAACATGGTTATGCTGCCCATTATATACTCTTCGATTTCCAAGATATACTTAATCGACATGAATGTCACTTTCACGAGTTTATGCATGTAAAGCGCCCTTATAACTTTATCTGAATTTGCACGTCTGGAAAAAGAGCCTCATTTTAGGTTTGATTATCTGGACTCGTGAGTTTGGAACCTCATAAGGTTTATTATACAACAAAAAAAGTATGAGGTGGGAAACTATCTACCCATAACTTTTGGTAGTTTTTTTGACCCTTGCCCTCTTATTAGCTGAGAGTTATCGGTCGTTACCCGATCCTTTAGCAACCCAACAATGATCCCAATTATCCTTTTTTACATTACTTCGTAGTGTATCGAGATTTTCTTTGATCGCTGTCTTCGAAAGATAGATTTTATATTCGCTCTCACTGGTGCAATAAAGACCATCAGTAATGAAAACAAGAAAATGCCAATTCCATAGATATAGTCGTGGTCGACATTCCCAAAAGCTTGTTCAGTTGTCTTTTTTTTCTTATTCGTGTGGCATGCGCTTTCGAGTTGAATAACCGTATATAAATTAGTTAATGTCAAACGCCAATAATAAACACTAGGCAATTTAGAATGGTTGGATATCATTATGTGAAATATACGGCTACACTTGTGAATATCCGATTTTGATGTTACGAGGTTTTCTTTCTACAATACACGAGATCTTCCTTTCCCTTGATTGCGTAATCAACTCGCCCAGATGTTTCTTCATTAGAGATATCCTTCTTCAATGAAATATAGAGTTTTTTCCTCCTTGATATGTTTTCTAACAATGGTAAGGCTGTACTGTTGCAGAATGGATGAAATAAATTCACAGTGAGTTGCTACTTTAGGATCCGTTATCATCTCGATATTCGTTAGTATTAGTATTATGTCTGCTACACAGTGCTTGAATGCATCGTCATCTTCATCGACTTCTTCAAAAACTATACAACAAAAAAGAATGTGTGAATATAACCTATTTTCGATTACTTTGCCAGAGCAGAACTCAGAAATTGCGGGACGGCCCATCTCGGAAAATGCACAAAATAAAGCAATCTCTTCTCAATTGACCTTTTTCTTGCGGTGCACTTCTTTTAATTCTTCCAACGTTTTATAGGATGAAAAGCTTCGTATCTTCTGTTCTGATAGCTCTTCGGCAAAAACAGTCTAGTTTATAGCAGGTTAAAATGCAGTATAGGTAACACCTATTGTTTCCTATTGTTATTGTAGTGACTATATTATATTTTATCCTTAAATCTACCAAATTAGTTTAATGTGGAAAATATTTCTTTTTGCCCAAATACCTTATAAAAATAAAAGTTTCACGTCAATTTTTTCCTTCAGTTTACATACAGCACATTGTTAACATTGTAAATTTGGTACATCCCTTTCCTCGGCTCTTACCATTTGTCGAATTTCTAAATAGATAATTGCTTATATAAAGTATTTAAATATTTAAAATTATGACAAAAAATAAAAATCCTATCGAAAATAAAAAGGTCAAATAGTGGTAGTATTAGAAATGGAAAATTATCAAGAAAGTTCGGTTTACCAAAGCTTTTTTTCCTAAACTTATTGTTGCAAAAATACCTCATGTGGTTGTTCTTGTTAAAAAACAATGTGTGATTACAAAAATCCTGAATTTTCAATTTAAAAGGATGGCAGTCAAAAAATAGGAAATGGTACTGTTTCTGGTGGTGTCAGTCTGGGTGGTAATGCTTTGTCAGGAAATGCTGAATTTACTCTTATTAGAAACAGCAGAAGTGATGTTGATCTTAAAATTGGAACCGTTTCGGCAGGAGGATGTTTTATAAATGTAGGATATGGTATAGCAAGAGCAAGTGCTAACATTACAAGTTATAAATTTAATGGACTAGAAGCTAGATTAGGACTTAGTGTTGATACTGGTGGTAGAATTAGTGATAATGGTATAGAATTTACACCGTCTCCCAAAAAGAATGCAACACCTGATCATCGATCTTTAGGTGTTAAAATTTTAATCAGATCAGATCAAATCATGATGAAATTTATAATATAGATAGAATATAAGTATGCTTAAATAATTATAAGTTAAAATAAATATTAAATTAATAAAAAAATTTTTTATGATAATTTTTTTTTTAAATTTACTGTTGCGTTATTTTTGGAGTTTTTTAAAAAAAATGACAAATTTTATTTATTTATAAAAAATTAATATATATAATTATACAAATATATTTGATTTTTATTACCATCTTGTATAACTACCTTTTGCCTTAATAATATCATTAATTCTTTTAGCCATTGTTTCTATATATTTCTTACAATTTTTTTCAGATGTTTCATTCCAAATCTCTAATAAATTATTCCAGAAAGTTTCTTTGTCATTAATATTAATCTCTAAATCATTAACTCTTCTTTTAATATTATTCCAGATATTTTCTATTGGATTTAAATCTGGAGATTTTGATGACCAAGAAATAGTTCTAATTTTGTTATTTTTAACCATCTTTGAACTATTTTAGCCTTATGTTTAGGATCATTATCATGTTGAAATATAATATCTTTAGGAGCTAAATGATAATATCTTAATGAATATATTATTTCTTCTTTCAAAATTTATCTATAAAGCTCTATATTAAAATTTTCTTCAATTCTAGATAAATATCCTGTACCATAATAAGTAAAACATCCCCATATATTAATGCTACCTTTACTAAATTTAGTTATAGGAATTATATGTTAATTCTTTAAAGGTTCTATAGATTTTCTTCGCAATATTTACATCCCTCAGCTTCAAAAAGTTGAAATTTAGTTTCATCAGATCAAACCACCATACTCTAATCTTCTATGGCCCAATTTTTATATAATTTTGCAAATTCTAATCGGATTTTTTTGTGTTTTACTTAAAAAAGGTTTCTTGTGCTATGTATATGCTTTAAATCCATTTTTCTTAAGAATTCTTTGAATTGTGTTGATACTAATATTTATTTTTTCATATTTTATTAAGGATCTACATATATTCATGACAGTTTTACATTTTTCCTTTAGAATTTTTCAAATGACAATATATTCTTCATGTAAAGTAAGTTTAGGTGGACAACTAGGAATAGGTTTATTTTCTAATTTGTTTGTTTCAAGATTTTTTTTTAAGTCTAAATATAGTGGAATAATAAATATTATTACCAATTTTGGCAGCAACTTGACATAAACTATAACCTTCTTCTAATAAGGTAATAGCCTTTACTCTTTTCTCTATAGATAACTTTCTTGAAAACATTTGATTTATACAAGATATGAATAAATTTTTGCATTTTTATATTTTTATAAAAAAATACCAAAAGTCACGCAACAGTAAATTTTTATTAATTGCATCATAAAAAATTTTTTTATTATTTTAATTACTATTCTAATGTATATACCAAATAGATTAGATTATACTCTGTATATACTATAAATTTCATCATGATTTGATCTTATCTGATCAAAATTTTAACACTTAAAGATCGATGATCAGGTGTTGCATTCTTTTTAGGAGACAATGTATTTTTGATATATTAATATAGCTGGCCTAGTGATTGGATTATCATAATAAAATTTTCAGATAATTATTTGTTGGGCACATGATCAAGGGATAAGTTGTAAATCTTTATTGGTTACATTCCTACTTTGATTTTTTTATCTATTAGATAATGTGTGCTAATTTTTTATAAACATTCATGAGCCTGATAATTATGTCCTCAATTGATAAACTAAAAGAAGCCACTATGTTAGAAAAGCCACCAGCAATGAAGAAATTGTCACAGGCTCATGCACGTAAAAATAAAAAGCAGAGACATGAACAAATTCAGACATACCACGAACCAGTTGATATTATACTTAATCCACTGAGCACATATTTTTGTTAGTTGCAAAGCCTTTTTTTCTTATTTTTTATATTGAAAGGAATGGGTTATGGAACAGAACAAAGTTATTAATGGACCTGTGTTCTGGCAAAGGCAATTTGTTTGTTCTACAAAAATAATGCTTAAAGAATATCTAGAAATGTCTAGTCTTAAACATTTAACTTAATTTAGAAAACCAATATTTCATTTTATAATTAAGCATCGAATTCAGAATACTACCTGTGGTCTATATACTCATGATAAGGTTAATTATATAGAAAGGAAAGGACAAGTGTTCCTCTCTACCTTACGGATTGTAAATTGTCTAAAGAAACAAAAACATAGCAGTAAATTTCAACAAAAGAATCTACTTATTGAGACATTAATTTGGGAAGTGAAGTCTGTTGGCAATAATTTTTCGAGTTACCTGAACTACTTCCTGATTTTTTAATATTACTTGATAATTGTAACACATCCGAGGAATCAGAGATTCGAGTTTATACCTCATCATCTATAGATAATATGAATAAAAAATTGTTGATTACTTTTGTATGATGGTTAAAAGATGAATTGTATAATAGTATCTCAAGATTTTGTGAGAAGATTAGACACACTCTTGACCTTCAAGATATTATGTATTTATATGATGTTGATAGTGTTACTACGTGTAATACCCGAAAAGAAAAACCTGACTTATTATGTCAGTACGTGAAAATTTTCATCATTGAATAGATTTTTACTATATACTAGAACTAGTATGTATTGTGGGCAAGGATAATCGAACCTTAACTCATTAGAAATAACACAAGCAACAAATTTAGTTAATAAAATTAATCTCATATAAGCAATGAATTCTAGAATTTTATAAAAATTTTGATGTGTTTATATTGAACAATTCATTTCAATATACTAGTTTTAATGCTGCAAGTAGTCACAATTCCAATTATCAAAAGTATGTCATAAATTACTCTATGACCGTTATTTATTATTTAATTCTATTAATCGATTTCTTAAAAAATATTATAGGAATCTATATGAGAAGATATCCAAATTAATGTGATTCGGCTTCTTCCCTATGGTTGCGGTTAATTTCAATATGATTAAGACTATCAATGGAATAATTACGATGAATCCAAATTCTCTCTGTTGCTTGGTCACTTTTGACGATTTTGAGGGTGAACTTTGCTTTTCACAATTCCAGATTATCATTCCACTTCATTCAGGGCAAGTTGTAATATTTTCTTTTCATCTTTTTCTTCATGAAAATTTTCCTATAACTCAAGAAATTTGATATAGTATCATTTATTTTGTTCATAATATGTTCTTCCACTATTCGCATAAATTTACCCAAGATTTACAAAGATCGAAAAGATGAGATTAAACAAGATGCGAATGAATTGGTTGTTTCTATAATTCCTCAGTAAGACCTAAACAGTGCTTATAAATTAATCACCAGGTTAGATTCGACAAATCAAATTCGAGTTCTACTGTCATCCACCAATTGTAGGAGAGGACATATCAGTATGTCTTTATTATAATGTTACAGTGTCCGTCAAAAAAATACAACACTGTTTGCTAATAGTTAATCTGATCATATTAGATCAGATTATGATGAAAATTATTAGTGTATACAGTGTATAATCTGATCTAATTAGTGTATAATGTAGAATAGTGAATAAATAATTTTTTTACATTATAAAATTAATGAAAATTTATTATTACGTGATTTTTGATATTTTTTAAAAAAAATTATAAAAATACAAAATTTTTCTTAAATTTTTTTATAAACTAATGTCTTAAAAACAGAGAAAAGGTTAAAGATTATTACCATGTTAAAAGAAGATTGTAGTTTACATTAGATTGTTGCCAAAATTGATAACAATGTTTATTATTTCACCATATTGAAACTTACTTAAAAAATATCAAACAAATAAATCAGAAAATAAATCTATTCTTAATTATTTATATAAATATATCCCACATGAGGAATGTATTTATATTAAAAATTAATAAATGAAGAATACAAAGTAGCTGCAAATATATACAAGTCCTTAAAAAATATGAAAAAATAAATATTAGTATTAGAATAATTAAAGAATTCATAATAAATATATATTTAAAGCATATGTACAGAAAAAACTTTTTTTGAATAAAAATAAAAAAATC